GCTGTAATAACTAAGGTTATCAGGGACTGCTGTGAATACTTTCACTTTAGAGATTCATATCGGATAACAAAGTCGTACAAAATGGTGATGAACAGCAAAATTGTTTCCTTACAGCACTGGTAATGCCTTGAGAATTTGGCTATAAGCAGGTGTGCGTATTTACAAAAGGAAGGTGGAAAGGAATTCTCTTTGAATCTTAAAGAGAATTCAAAGTAATTTGACCTATGATTAACACATCCACTACGGCATTTGTTTTTAGCTTTCTGTTCTTCGGACCAGGACGATTCTGGCATTAACGTGTCTTCGTCCTGACCTATGTTTAAGTAATTTAACAAGCTGATTCAAAATATCATAAACATTTCCGCAATAATATCTATCTTATCTTACAAGGTAAGACTATACACAATAAATTGCTTGGATAACCTCCGCGCTCTTCTGTGATGGACCTGCACAGATGGCTGATTACTGTGCATCACTTTGTAGGAGAAGTCCGGAGCAAAATCATGCTGCGAGAACTTGTGCGAGGTTTGCTCAGACTCAGCCCTACCCTAATGTATCCTGAGGCCGTGGTTGGACTTAGCTTTGCATACAAAAACGAATACTGTACCTCTTTCAAACTGGCACAGGAATAGAATACGAAGCTGTAAGTGGGCGTAGTGGTAGCTTGTATTCATGTTCTCATATGAAAAACCGTTGTACCTATCAACCTAACAGTAGATAGGTAACAAACCTTGATGGCATTACACTGACACCACCTGTGAGATTTTGGCATTGGTGCTTAATGGCGAATCATAGAACGAAATTGCAAGTACAGGCGTTCTGAAAACCAAAAATTGCTCATCTGATGCTCTGCATCCGCTATGCGCATAAGACGTTAGAAGTAGTAACCCTCAACGTCCACCAAACCGTTTTTAAGTATCCACTAGTAAAGCAAAGCAAATCATGGTTTGAAAATACTTGCAATTCTTCCCGGGAAGATGGTAAATTAGATAGGAGAAATTCAACTTTCTGCTTCAAGGT